AATTTTGAATGGTATGATACCTAGATTTGTTTATGACCTATCTATGTAGAAGTCCCAAGAGAAAACTATGGTCGCTAAAGTAGTATAAGCAGCACATAAGTAAGGGGATTTAAACCAATTATATCAGTAAGTATTGAATGAGAAATGCAAATAGGCCACAACTTCATCACTGTTCAACAAAGAGGAAAAGGAAAAACAAGAAGTATGTAAACTCACAGAATATATGTAGTCCTGTCTCATACCAATCTCCATCCTCATCTTTCCATGCAGCCACCTATAAGAAACAAGGCCAAATCTTGAAATTGCAAGCACAAAAGAAAAAGAAAAAGAAAAAAAAAAAAGAATCACAAATATAGGTGACACCATGTCATACGGGGTACTTAATCTATTGACCATTGTTCTTTCAAAATCATTTTTAATTGCCTAACCATAACTGCAGTAATTAACTTAGCAATGTGATGGAAATCTAAGTAAGTGCCAGTAACAGATCAAGAAAATCCATCAAGACTATGATTTGAATTTGTATGATGACATAGGGTCAAAAGAACTCCAATATCTATTCATACTAGGGCATGCTGCACCAACATTTGCTCTTGTTTGTAAAAGATGAAGCAAAAAATTTCTCTCCAAATAATTAACAACTAACTTTTTCTAAGTTTTAAAAGTAGAAAGCAACAAATTTCATATTATAGATTTTACAGAAGAAAAGAAAGCACAAAAACCTTTCCACCTAGAACATCTCTTGCTTCCTGCAACAGAGGCTTGTGACCTGCATCTACCAAATATTTTGCAGTGGACAAACCAGCTAAACCTGAAATTAATAATTTTAAAACTAAAATTAGAATAGTTAGAATTGGAGTGAGAAAACCAACTAAAGGAGCAAACTTTGAGAATAGATAAGAAAAAGGACATTGAAGAGACCTGCCCCAGCAATTACAACTTTGAGTGGCTTTGCCGGTCGAGGGTAAGTACGGAAAGATGAAGATAGAGAAGCAGCTTCCAAGAAATTAACAGTGTTGTCAAGCTCTGGTCTTGGGTAATCCATACATACTACCTAAATCATTGGAGCAGATGAAGCGATTATTTTAGTCAGGAAAAGAAGGGAAGAAAAGGGAATGCAAAAACCAACCTGCAAAGGACCACGGGCGACGTTCCTCCTATTCTTGCTTCTGCTTGCTTGTAAAAATGAAAATTTCAAACTGCGTTGTCCAACGGGCTTGGGAATTGAGTTGGTTTGGCAGGTGAAGTTTGCCGCAGAAACACTCCCGCCGCACAGACTCATTTCTTGAAACCCAGTCGTGAGATCGGCAAACAGAGAATGGAGGAAGTTAATTTTGAAAGAGGTGAGTGCGGTGGCCGGTGGTGGTGGTGGTGGTGGTGGTGGTGGTGGTGGAAGTGGGAGGTAGTGATAACTGGTAAAACAAGCATGTGCAATGCAAAATGGTTGACGTTTTTAGGTCCCCGCTAAAATGAGCAAAAAACATTTTTTTATTCATATATAAAAATGCGTTTCCTTCTTGAACTTTTATACTGAAAATTTGTAATTACAACGTAATTTTTTCAGTCAAATTTAATAATTTTATTTACGTAGAATTTATGATTTCAAACTCCTGCAAAAGCTCTTCACTAAAAAACCATTTCTTCATGCTTAAAGACAATCATCCAGACAGGCTCTAACAGACAAATTCCGAGAAAAGAGGATATATTCTTGGATGGAGCAGTGGGGAATTACCGTCCAACAATGACTATGGTTCCCTCTTGCCACCCAGATACTGCATTTTGATTCCCCACTGTCTTTACGCTATTTAGCTCATAGATCACAAAAAACATCTCATTTTTTACCCTTTTGGTTTGGCTGATTTTTCTTAAATGGTTCACTAGAGTATTTAGAAACATCAACTTTATATCATATAAAATAATTTCAAACC